CTGGAGCTCTGGGGAGAAGGAGCAGGGTAGGCAGGGAGGCCCCAGAGGGGAGGACAAGCAGCCTGTGCAGACCTGACTCCCATGGAGCTGTTCCTGTCACCAGGAGCTCTAATCTCAGCAACCTTCGGAGTCTCATTCTTCAGCAGCTAGGAGTTGGCTAATGACATGGGCTGGAGGAGGTGAGATAACAGGAAGGTAAATGAGAGCTGCTCTCACCATGGAGGAACCTCTTGTCCTTCAGGTGGAAATGAGGCAGCTGCTGCTCGCCTGGGACTTCAGAGGGATTTACCAAAAAGGAAGAGTTTGGCTTGTTCAGGGGGACAGATGGAAGGGGGTGACATCTCAGGAAGATAGGTGTGTGTCTGTCCTCCTGCTCTGCTCCCCAGGCCCTGTGCACAGGCACCTCAGCCCCACTGACCTGTGGGGGAGCCAGGAATCTCAGGCCATCACCTCAGCCCCACAGGGGCTCTGGCCCCTCAGCCCAAGGCTCCATGTCACCCCCTGGCCAAGGCTGCCTCCCTGCAGGAGGAGCTGCTCCGTGGGGCTCAGTGTGGGTGCCAGGGGGAGGAGACCCCCATGCACAGCACAGCATGGCCCCAGCACACAGGATGAGGCCATTTTGCCCATCAAGGCAGCCCGTCCCCAAGCCCACAGCGTGGCAGCCCCATGCTGTGTGTGACAACCTCCCTCAAAGTCCACACCACACTCCAAATTCAGAGCAGAAAGGGACTTGCCATTCTGAACACAGGGACTGAAAACCCTGGTAGGGGGCACAAGGTGGCTGGGACTGCAGAGTGACCCAGGCAGGGCTGGGAAGGCTGGTACTGACTCATTTCAGGCAGTCTCAGGACTCACCGGGTCTTGGAGAAGTTGTCCCTCTGGGGCACATCCTGAGGCTGAGGCTCTCCCTGCCTCTCTCTGTCCCTGTGCTCCAGGCAGGGGACAGAGCATCTCCATAGAGTAGCACAAGCTCCTTGAGAGCATCCTGCCTCTCACTGAAGAAATGCTTTACCTAGGAAGGAAAAGAGTCAAGCACGTTGTCAGCCCTGCCTCTCATCCTCTGCTGAACAACCCATTCATCACTGGCTGAAGGAGGACGCTATTGAAACGCTGCCCACGCACCTCCCAGAGCCTGGCTGGACCTTTCCAGGACCAATTGTCTATGCTGGTCTTTAGCACAGACATTGCAAGTGGAGGGGATCACAGAATCACAGAATCACAGGGGTTGGGAGGGACCTGGAAAGCTCACCCAGTCCAACCCCCCTGCCAGAGCAGGGGCACCCAGAGCACATCACACAGGAACGTGGCCAGGGGGGTTGGAGTGTCTCCAGAGAAGGAGACTCCACAGCCTCTCTGGGCAGCCTGTCCCAGGGCTCTGTCACTCTCACAGGAAAGAAGTTCTTCCTGACATTCACATGGAACCTCCTCTGCTCCAGTTGGCACCCACTGCCCCTTGTCCTGTCACTGGACATCACTGCACAAAGCCTGGCTCTGTCCTCCTGACACTGCCCTGAACAGATCTGTAACCACTGATGAGGTCGCCCCTCAGTCTCCTCTTCTCCAAGCCCAACAGACTCAGCTCCCTCAGCTTTTCCTCAGCAGGGAGATGTTCCCCTCCCTCCATCATCTCTGTGGCTCTGCCCTGGACTCTTTCCAGCAGTTCCCTGTCCTTCTGGAACTGAGGGGCCCAGAACTGGACAACATTTCAGATGCGGGATGAGGGGAGGATCCCAAACCAGTGAGACCAGGTGTCTGTGCCCAGAAGAATGAAGACAAACCATCTTAACTGCCTTGCTGCTGAGTCAGGGCCCAACTGCTTTTCCCCTGGGCATGAAGCAAAAATGATGCTTTCTACTTCCTTTAATTTCTGCCCAGAAACACTGCAAATAGCTTATTTTGCTGAGATAAAGGTCAGGACTCACCTGTGATTGCCACATCCATCTTCAGCTGAGCACAAAGCACTTGGCTGTCCTGGCTGTGAGACTCTCCTGATTTGTCAGCAGCTCGTGAGGTCTGGACACAATTTGATGGATTAGTCCCTCAAATCAGGACATTAGGGTTACACCAGCATTTACTAGCAAGCATCTCCTCCTTACAAAATCTCTGTGGACATATCGGGGGGGAGTAAACAGCCTGAACTGGGAGTAAATCCCTCCAGCTGTCTGGCCAGGCAAGACATGTTTTGCCCAGCATGTGGGCCCCAGGGGCTTAAGAGAGGAGGCACATCCAGGCTGTGGGAACCTATAGTCAGGGTCTCCAGTGCTAAAAGGCTGTAGCAAGGTTGGGACACTCTGCTTCCCTGGGGCAGAGAAGTAACAATGGACCACTCAGAACAGCAAGGAGCCCCAAGAACATCAATTCACCAAGAAATACATTCCCTTCCCCCTGCCAGTGTACCAGCACTGCAGTGTCTGAGACCTCCTGCATCACCAGCAACTCTTCTAAAGCCAGCTGGCTCTTTTCCAGCCTCTTGGCACAGCTACATGAAAATGCACCAGGGAAACTCACTTCCCACTAGAAACTCAACTTCAGTTCTCCTCCAAGGCCGTGCCAAGCCCGCAGTGCCCTGAAGTGTCTTTTCTTCCAAAGAACAGGCAGTGGAACAGCCAGTGGGACCCACCCTTCCTCATCACAGACAAGCCTGTAAGGATGAGCAAGCAATAAATGATCAGCAGAACCCTGAGTGGATGCTCATGTAGAGCCAGGGGCATCTGTTACTTCTGCCTTTCTTTTGTTTTCCTGCCAGCTAGAAAACAAGATGTGGGAGAGAGGTCAGCTGTGGTGTCTTGGACTTCATCTGGGCAAGAAAAGGGTTCACAAAGATGCAGTTCACAAATTATTAAGCTTTGGTTTTCAGAGAGGAGGGGAGCAGGTTTCCTACAAGAAGGCAGTTACATGTTTTGTTGATCACCACAGTTCTCACCTGAGATTTTTTTTCTCCTCAGGACAACTTTCTCAGACATTAAGACAAGCTAAAATTCCAGCTTAATGGAAGGGTTTGCTCTGAAAACTCAGTTACATCCATATCCCCAGTCTCACTCCTACTCTGACTTGCCATATTCTCCCATTCATTGACAACGTGCTGTCAGAATTCCAAGCAAGTCATTAACATTTGACCCCCTCCTGCAATACCTACCTTGGATTTGGAACATTCCTCTGCCTCCTACCTCAGCTCAGGGATATTTGAATTCTGAATCCCAAGTCTGATCCCCTTCCAAAAGAGCAACCAGGCTGTGAATTGCACAGAGACCTGGGTGCAACTCTCATGACTTTACTTGGGAGCCTTGGGTTATAGATTCAGGTCCAATCTAGATATAATTCCTTCTATCACCACCAAACCAGTGCAATGTGTCAGGAACTCAGAAATGACCTGATGCTGGCACACCAGAATGGTCTGAAGTTATCTTTGGGTGTGAAGATAGATAATGCTCTAATGATGGGGTGCTGCAACCAACTGATTTCTGCTCCTTGGCTGCTGGTAACTCAGCACCACCTGCTCAAACTAACAGTGCTTTCTGCACTAGAAAATTACCTCTGGAGCACGAAGCAGATCTGACCCACTCAAAAGGAGCCAAAAAGGTAGAAACACAGCAGGAACTGCTGTACTGAGAAATGCCTTCCCACACAAAATGCCACCACCTGGTGGTAATGTCAGCTGGAGAGCTTTGTCTTGGCTTGCAGAGAGCTCACTCCTTGGTGCAAGCTGCATTTCTGTAGGGCTGCAGAAAACTGACTGCTGGTTTCTCACAGCTGGACAGGATTTCAGTGTGTTGTTCATTTGTTGCAAAGCTGTTGTTTCAACAGAATTGCCCTGGCAGTTTTTAATTTAGAAGGTGCTGAGAACACTCCTACCTAAGACCTTTGGAGGCGTTTGGCTGTGAGGTCTCAAGAACACAGCAGATTTATGGCTCTATTAACCACTTGTACTTTAGGTGCCCTGACAGAAAGTAAGGGGAAAAGCATCTTCAATGATTATCAGTGCTGACAAGAAGAAAACAGTGGAAATGGAGTTTAAAAGAACCCAACCCTGCCTGAAGGGCTAAATTACACCTATTTTGTGTCTGGATACATTCTCTAGTGATGCTCAGAGAAGCAGAAACTTAACCTTGGAGGTGATGGACTTAAAAAAGACTCAACTGACACATGTTTTTTTTGGAGCATCCACACAGTTTATGCAGTTTTCCCAGAGCAGGGTTCAAATGTCTTGTTTTAACACCTTGCTCTGCATTTGAGATCTCCCTTTGATAAATCCAGCTGAGACAGAGACAGAACAAGCACTGAACACACACATCAAGGGACAGGACAGAGAAATCTGACTCCACAAGGGGTGGTCTTCATATCTTCTCCAGGGGAGAATCCTCTCCCACCTTTAGAGAAGCTGCTTGCACAGTGGGGTCAAGGCACACAAGCAGCCAAGTGGCTTGTCCTCCCCAAACTGGAGATGTTTATGTTGGATGGAGATGGGGGCTGAGATAGGGATGAGAGAAACAGGATCAGGCAGGGAACAGACACATCTTTCCACATGGACAATTTCTACCCCAAATCTGGGTGCCAGGTCCTCACCCAGAGCACTCTGTCAGCCAACCACAAGGCCTGGTGGGCAGGCAGGAGGGTTTGCACACACCTTCAAAGCAAAGTAAACAAGACTAAATTGCTGCTGAAGCTGCTGTTAGCTGATTGTCTGCTGGACTCTCTTTACATTGGATAAATAATGATTGAAGGAGGAAGTTCTTGCTCTCTGTGCACATTAAGAAGCCTGCTAAGGAAGGGCTGAGATAAAGGGCTAGAATCATTTGCCAAATGTGGAACACAGGGACCAGGAAGAGCTCCTGCTCAGAGCAAGATCAGACATGCTAGCTCAGTTTTGCAGAGATTCACAGCACAGCAACACCCTGAGGATGAACTGAAGACAGGAAGAAATGCCCTTGCTAAGCTAGTAGTTTAGGTAGTAGCTTCTTGAAGGAAATAAAAACCCATTTGGGTGATCCCAGCTATGCAGAGGTCACAAGAAGCATGTGAAAAAGCTCCTAGGATATTTGGGAGGTCTGAGGCACTAGCTCCAGGACAGAGGGCTGCTCAACTGCAAAAGCTCAGACCTAGGGACTGGGCTCAGACCAGATTCAAGGTTTGAGAGGCACTGGGGACCCAGTTCACACACACACACAGCTCCAGTAGTGGTGCCAGAGGAGGTGCAGGCTAAGCCAGGCTGTAGAGCCTTGCCAGGAGCAGTGGCTCAGCCAGATCTGGGATCTACCCTTCACTCTTTGCAGCTTCTGGAGGAGAGTGAAGAGTTTGGGGCTGCAGCTCAAAGGGGAGCTTCCTGTCACCCCTTGCCTTCTGGTGCTGCTCTTGGGAAGATCAACTTTCCTTACATTTTTCCTTTCTTCCTCAGGGAAGGCTCCAATGCCCCGACCTCACTACAAACCCCAAGAACCCAACGGCTGTAGCTCCTATTTTCTGGGGCTCAAGGTACCCGAAAGTGTATGTACTACCACACTCACCATTCCCAAATGATGCAATGCCTTAATCACAATAACCAACTAAAAATATGGGGGAGGGAAAAATAATTTCTGGGGTGTTAGGGGACAAGCTCTCTGCTCCTGGGACTGCCAGAAGACACATCTGCCTGCTGATGACAAGCAAGGGGAACGTGTCAGGCTGAGTGACTGTCAGGGAGACATTAAGACATCAGCTGCTGGTGGCAGTGAAACAGGAATCATGTAGATAGGAGTCACATTCACCAAGGACTGGCCTGTTGCTCTTGGTTGTACCAAAAGAGAAAGCTTCCTGAGCAGGTGAGCACCAGCAGAAGAAAAGGGGTTGCCTGGCCAAGCAAAACACCAGAGTGGAGACTCTTTTTTTATCAAAGTCCTGAACAATCCTGTCCCCTTGTGACAGGACAGGGCACACGTTCAGTGCTGGGCAGCTCAGTGACACAGCAAGACCTGCAAACAGTAACACCTGGATGCATTCTCCACACCTGGCCCTTTACCCCTCCTAGGCTTTTTTTTTTTGCCTCTGCCAAGCACTGAAACAAACCTGCAGCTTTAGTACTGCACCCATTTGTTATTTTAAAGGCAAGTAATGAAATCGTAGTGGAATCACCAGGAAAAGCACTCCCAGCAGGCTCTAACAGCAGGAA